GAAAATATGGGGGGGTGGGAGGGCAGAAAGTAAATGGGGTTTAAAGCAGATTCCCTTTTAAATACATTAAACCACATCTATTAAATATGTTTGAGGCTTGAAAAGTCATCCTCCACATTGCATACTGGATGAAGTACAAATCCTGTGGATGGTAGTTTCCAGGTAGCAAGTTTTGCAGCCAGATCATAGATAATCTCAAAGAGGATGGCACTGTGACAAACTATTCAGAAATCCTGCTCCTGACTTCCCCCGCAAGCTCTCATATTGCATTGGAGATGGTCCATTTGATTCAATTCCTCCCTCCCTTCCTCCTTACAGATCTCAAGTTTAAGTCTTGACTCAGAACTAATTTGTGAATGGAAGTTATCATGAGTAACAAGAGATCACACATTCTGCAAGAAGCTTATTAGACACTTGGAACCTGTTAAATTGAGGCTTTTCTTCAAGCAGATCAAGGAAATCACATCTCTGAGGCTGAAACTTTGCTTCTGGTTTTGTGCTTGTAGAGCACAGCAACAGGACTCCGATCCTTTCTATCTGATATGCACAAAAGTGAAATGCAGCCTAACGTTTCACCATGGCTGTTACAGACCATTTGTCCTGGGGCTACACAGAAGCTAGAGATCCTTATGACAAGAAGCTGAAAAACTATGTTTAAAATGCTATAAGGCATATTACAGAAGTTCCCTCTATAGTCCTTGATTTGGAGGGGGTGGGGAGCACTCAAGCTAGCCCTCCTGGCCATCACAGGGTTAATAAAATCTGCAATTCAAAACCAGCACATCTGCCATGTTTTCCAGTCTTGTCTGTCTAATAAATCTGGTTTCATACCATGTCTTTTCCTTTTCCCACAAGCTTAATGAGTAACTAGTTTGCCTCTGGTAACACTGCAGTTTTTATTGCAGTTTGTAGGAAGAGTACGGAGTTCTGCCTCCTTCTCCTGTCCCCTCTCTCCATAAGTATATTCAACACTTCAGGTAATGAAGAAAGGCTCTTTTTACTCATTTGGTAAATAATACAATATTTTATAGTTATAAGGCTCCATGCAAAGACTAATCCAGTCCTAAGTCTATAGGGGTTTTTTTAGAGCAGGTCCTTCATCATAATGTGAAATTTCATTGACTCTTGTGTAATCTCTCATTATACTAGTGGGACAAGTTCTTACTGCACACTCATGTCACTCATCTTTAATATCTATAAGCTTACAGCACAGCCTAATTCTTCCTCTTTCAAATCTGTCACACTCCTAGGGTAAAGGTCTTTCCAGTGGCAAACACATTACTCACAACATTCTGAATGACACACCTGTAACAAAGGACAAAGCTGAATTTACTTTTCTGATAAGCAAGTGGAAGAGCCGGTAACTTTCCAAGACTAAGATCCAGGTATTCTATGATCCTATTTCTTCCCTACTCTCAAACATGAAGGAACCAAATAAATATCTTTATTCCACTTTCTAATTGCAAATAATTTAAAATTAAAATAGTTATACTGAGAGGTCATCCATACAATTCAAGTACTAGAAGTTCAAGTGCCTAGGAGACAATATCTGAAAAAAAACTACAGACCTTTGCTGAATGAAGAATTTTCTGGGAGGTTAAGCAGAGGAGAGCAAGGGGAGGTTTCTACCCCTAACTGTTATGAAATTCAAACTTTAAAGCTATCCAGAGAGGATCTGTCCCCTTATCTCCTTCCATCAAAGAGGAAAAGAATTTTTCTTCTCAATTTGCAGAAAAGAATAACCATCTTGCTTTAATGGACACAGGATTTTCTACAGTAACTTTTGCCAAAGGATTTTCACTTCCTAATAGATTTTCACTTGCAATTGGTCTCAAAGACTCAGTTTCCCATATAGTTCTGTCAGACAACAACAACCAACAAGCCTAATATCTCTTCTACCAGCAGTGCTAGTCTCAGTTGCCCAAGAGCTAGAAACACATGAACACAAGCCCATGAAATTCAGCTAATAACTCTATCCTCTTTACATGGAGGGCAGACACTTCCAGCTGCTGCACTGCCTCAAGGAATTAGGCTGAACTATTTGTGGTGTGGGTGGGGAAGAGATTTTCAGGTCTCAGTCAGGTCTGGAGCAACAGTCCCAGCAAGTTCAATTAGTCACTCACCTCCCTTGTGTAAGATACAGAGCTAACCTCCTCCTCTTCTTCTATTTACATTTCAGTAATCTAAGTATCTAAGCCTATCTAACAAGTTTGAACATTTGAAACTAAAGCTAAGCTCATGCACTTCCCACCTGAGCTCTCAGGTGTATCAGCAATGGGAGTGCCTGACAGGAGAACTTCACATGTGAGCGTGGACTGCTGAATCCCACCAGGAATGGCCAGCTTCTCCAGGACAGACCTCCAGCCATAAAGGAGGTGTGTTAAAACAGAACTGCAGGCTATATAGAGGCTCCCCATGCTCTTCTGTGCCACAAGAAAATCTCCTTTTCTTTTGCATCTCCCCTCAGACAGTGTTTCTGTGATGAAGACCAGGAATCAGTGGTTTGCCTGGATATACCGTCATAAAGTTGTACGTGTTATGCAGCAGTGGGGAGGTCACATCTCCTGAACCTCAGACTCAGCTTTACCTCCACCTCATACAAATGTTGCAGTAGTAGCCCCCAACTTTGCATCAGATCAGTCAGATATTTCCTTCCTGCTATACCAGAGGATTTGTGTGTAGGAGTGACTTCGAAGTCACGTACCTCTAACAGTGAGCACCTGCTGAGGAGCCCTTGTATTAAAACCCAGAAGAGCAGCTACATACCTGGAAGGAGGTTGAAAACCATTCCTAGACACCTGGGCTTTGCAAATTTGATTCCCACAGCTGATAAAATGTAAACAAAAAGGGGTTTGACTTTCAAAAGAGGAAAGCCACAGCACTTTCCCAATGACAGATCAGGCATCCTCAGTTTCTGTGGGTGGGGCAGCAGAGCTAAAACAAGTCATGTAGAGCGGGTCTTTATTTTCCAGTGCTGTTTGTGTCAGGCTGGAACATGCCCTGATACTTATGTCATAAAAAATAGAAAGGCTTTTGTTTGATGTTAATCAGGCAATATAGTTAGCAGATTGATCATTAGACAAATTTCAAGTAGTAATTGCCACCTGCCGTCACTTTAGATGGGCCTTTAAACTTTCAAAGAAACAAAACCTGGTGACTGAGGGAAGGAAATCGAGAAATTTAGAGCACTGTTGGGAGATTTTATCATGCAAAAAGTATTCCTCAAGCCCTCTGAGGCTCAAATGTTCTTGTTTCCATCAAATAAACTAAATATTACAGCAGTTTGGCAGCCATTTATCTCAATCTCCTGCTTAAAATTAATTAGAAACAATCCAAAAAGCTTTCTTGTTTTTTTTACCTTTTTAAATCTTATTTTATCTTTTTTAAAACTGATCCACTGCTATGATTTGGAGAGATTTCTTTGAAACAGTTTAGCAGCTTTTATTAAAATCAAATTCAGTTGTGTTCATGCTATACTTACCATTGGCAATCTGCATCCGGGAATGCTGGGGAAGTCATGATGCTCCATGTGGTAGCCTACATTAAAGGTGAGCCAGTTCAGAGGTCCATAATAAGAGTATGTCTCATACCCTTTTAAGAACATGTAATGTTCTGCTATGAAGTGCCCGGAAATGGGATGTACACCCATGCAGAGAATTGTACCTGCTATTAAGTAAATAATGGGTTTGAGACCCCAAAGGTAGTAAATTATAAGGTCTATAGAAAACTGGACAAGAGCGTTAAGAATTTCCATCCGTGTAATTGCTTTGGGATTCACATACAGTGGTCTCAGACTATAGAAAAGAGGTTGGAGGAAAAGCCAAAGCAGTTTCCGAAATGGCGTACAGAAGAACCAGCCTTCAAAGTCTGTAGGAATGTCCACATCCAGGTTGTCCCCACCAAGGTACCGATGATGGTCAATGTGGTATTTCTTGAAGGAGGCAGAATAAGGGATGCCAACTGGCAAGTTGGCAAAGACTGCAAACCATCGGTTCCACTTGGCCTGCTTGTTCCCAAAGGCAACGTTGTGTGAAATATCGTGGATGGCTAGGGTGAGTGAATGGTTGATGCAACCCCCAAAAGCATAAGCCCAGAAGAAAATCCATTTCCAAGATAAATCTTTCACCAGGTAGCATGCTAGAAACTGTATGAAAACCATTCCAGATACAATCCACTTTAAATGTGGATCTGGTCCCATCAGAGTCTTGATCTCTGGATACTTTGCTGAAGTGAAAAATGTAGAGAAAAATCTCATTAGATCACAGTTAGGGAAACATTATCACTACTGAGACTCTCTATTTTTATCACCTTATGTTTGAGGCCCTAGTTCTATAAAACGGCAATTCCGAAGTAGGGTTGCCACTACAATGAAAGCTTTACTAACATATCGGCTCCATTCCCGCTTCCAGCACCATGTCCAGTTGTGCTTGATATTGATAGATATAGATATGTATAGACATATATTTTTAAAAAAATACACTGATGATCAATACATGGCATCATGTGTCTTCACAGTTATGAGTATTAGTATGACAAAACCCACCAGATTTAAGCTCTAAGAAGCACCTTCTGTCGAGTTTTTAATTTATTTTTTCTTCTTTGCCCAGTCCAGATGCTATTTTCCACAAAGGACATACAACTGCCTTCTTTGTAGCCTTTCACACTGTTGCTTTAGACATACTAGCAGAGGAAAGAAGGCTGAGCAACAGGCTCGCCAGGTTTTGCTTTGTGGTTAGATGACAAATGTATCATTAAAAAAGAATTCCTAAGTATTTGAGTGTTCACCAGTGCTTACACCATGTACAACTCTTTGCACATGGTTACATCACAAGAAAGTCAGTAATATTATCAGGAATTTGTAAGACACAGAAAATTTTTCTCTGATCCCATTTATTAGCCTGTTCCCAAGTGACGTACCAAAACCAGGCATGAAAGTCATGTCAATAATCCCACAACAGCTTCATGTGGCCTCATGTATACTGCATATGAGAGACATGGGCTGGGCTTGCCAGGTCTGCCTCATGTCAGGCCAGGACCAACTTCATGATCTGTGGTTCTCCTGGCCATTCATTTATCCTCTTAAGAAAAAGAAAATACCCAGAAGTACAGCTTATCTTCTGGGTGCTGTTCATTGCTTCAGGTCTCTTCTTTATAAACTCACACTTCTCACTTCCAGTATTAACTTACACATTAATTTTTCCACTGTTTTATGGCTTTTACCCACCTACTGGCCTCTCTTCTTTAACTCATACTCTGTATTTCTCAATAATTAAAACTTATGCAGATAAGACCATAGGACAAGACACTTATTCTGAACCCTGAGATTACATAGTGTGTCCCTGCAAGTTTGATAGGCCCATTTTATGAATACAAAAGTAAATATCATCTGACTGTCACAGTACAATACCAATGCAATAAAATCAGATTATAATTATTCGCATCTATGCAGCTGTATATACTATAAACAAATGCTGGAGACAATACACATAACTTCATGTGACCTTGCAAGCAGTGGCAGGTACTGAGTGCAGGATGCAGAGAAGGGTTTTTTATAGGAGTGAACCCTGAAAAGTTTGCAGAAGTTCAGAGATGAAGCACTATTTAAGGAAGCAGGTTGATGTGGTTATGCTCTGCAACCATTCCAACAACTTTTGAGCCTGTTGGCCAACTTCAGCCCAGCTTGACAGAGGTTAGAGACAAAAAAGATTACACAAGTGCTGTGGAACATGATGAGGAAAGACATATTCTCAGTTCTTCCTCTTGTGAGGACAAGGGGACATGCAAGAGAGAGATTTTCTAAGTGGTGGGAAAAAAGTTCACATCTTTCCAAAGTCAGACAAACTTTTGGATAAAAATCCCTGGCAAGCCCAGCATTTTTTGTTTTGCTGTTTTATTTTTGTCCTTGTTTTTGCAGTTTTTGAAATTACAGTTTTCACACTAGAAATGCTAACGTGCTTGAAATTGTTCTCTGGTACCTAGACAGGTACAAAAATTTTACACACAGTGTTGGGATATTCACTCTAAAGAATAACCTGATGTAATGACCTGGTCAGAAAATCTGTTACAGAAACAGAATTTTATGTAGCTTAATGTCCTGCTTAGGGGCATCTGTCCAAAACCCAGAAAACCCTTTAATAAATCAAGCCACCTCAAATTTTCAGTCACACAGTTTGTAGAGATAAGATACTGCTGTTACCAGAAGAGATGAATAAATGTAAAACAATCAAATCTGTTCCTCAGCCTGGTCAAACTGGGGCCACTTTGACAAAAAAGAAAAAAAAATTAATGGGATGGGAAAATGACTAAGAGATGCTTTATACTGTAGTTTGAGAACAATGAAGGTTATCAACCTCGTTCTTTTTGTGGGAGCTAACAAGGATTGCAGGCTACATTTAAGAGGACTCAGGGTAGTAACTGCCAACCAACAGCAACAGTGTCTGCAAGCAGCAATGCAGGTAGGTTGCATTTATCACAGGTGACAGCTATTAAATAACTTGCTAGGGTTTAATATTAAATTCAACACATGATTAACTCCCCTCCAACAGTAGATTTTTGCATACTAGTTAAACCACAATACTGTATCTGTTTATCATTAATACTGATAAACCCTTCCCTTTTTCACAGCATGGAGAAACCTCCTGGAGGCTGAGAGGTGAGGCTGCTAGGCTCACTCCAGGCTGAAAGCCCTGCTGGCGGAGCGGCCTGCCAGAGACCTAAATGTTGAATACTGACCCTTTCAAAACTTGAGGTCAAACCCTTTTCAGTGAGACACATTTAATCTCAGATTAAGTGATCCTGATGACTGCAGTTTATATATAAAATGTTGACACAGCGATGTGGCAACATAAATATGTATCTCATTTTTCCCTTGTGTTCATGCCTTGCAGTTAGCTGAAGGAATGCTAGTAAGGCAAGGTAGAGTACTTAGAGCTGAAATACCTGGACAACCCTGTAAGGCTGCTGTGACAAGTGTCTGTAGGTGCTGCATAAACCAGACATCAGCCATCTGCACATCCCAAAGGCAATGGAGAATCAGAGAAAGGGCCACTGTGCAGTGCTGAACCAGGAGCCATAAAGGACTATCAGACCTGTGGCAGACACACAATAAAGATCACCTTCATTTCCTACACACTGCACTTCGAGACGTAAACAGACACCTACTCTCCACTCTTGAGACTGCTAGAGTTTCACACTACGAGGCATATGAGCAGAGATTTTCAACATGCTGCTCTTTCATGAATTGCTTCCATTTTGGTCTTCCTGAGCACTTTTCCATTGTAAAATTGATGAGCTTCTATATGGCCAGAATCCATTGCTTCCCAGAAAGCACCAGGTCAGGGTTAATACATGACAGTGGGCATAAAATGTAATCTATAGTGAGTTCTTCATTATGCATAATCATGGCATAGAGGAAGCACAGGAATAGGAGAAAAAAACCCACATCATTCAGCCCTTCTAGATAAGGGGGGAGGGACACACCCACAAAGTTATGTGACCACATGGGACCAGGATTTGCCCTTTAGAGTCTAACAGGACAAGAACAGCTCCAGCTACTCTGATGTCTCCACAGCACATTCTCCAGCCTCCATCTTATTGAAATAGTCCCTTAGCTCAGCCTGACAGACAGCTTATCCACATGCACTGGTTCCAGTTGTCCAGACTGAGCCGCTGTACTGCCATTTGGCAGGTGGGGATACTGGTGTAGATGTACAGTAGTGAAGAAGCATGACTTTTCTGTCTCCAAGGTCAACATACTGCAAAAGCAGTGCAGGCATTTTAGTAGAGTGAGTAGATGTAGTTACTAATTCTGCCCAGACAGCTCCATGGACTTTATCCCATAACCTCAGAGCAGCTGAAATCTGTACCACGATGATGAAAGACAGCGTTTCCCACTTGTACAACAGTGTGGATGAAAGAACAGCAGTCAAGAGAGAACAAATGCTCAAGTATATTTTCAGAAGTGTTCACTATTCTGTAACAACTCATTTACTGAGTTTTTTCATGGAGATCACTCTGCTGTTGTGTGTAAGCATCAGTCACCTGTCTAGAGGCTTTCTTCACTCTGAAACACTACTGACAAATTATTCTCATTACACTTTTTTTTTCTTTAATGTTCCTCTATGGAGACCCAGAAGCACTCACCATAGCCCTACAGTGATCCTCAGTTAGGGCTGGAGTAATTGTTCCTGGAGAAGCTGCCAGTCACTAGTTCCTGGTGTTCCTCCTCAAGAGACAGCAAATATCTTGTTCTGAACCCTCACTCATTCTCTGTTCCCACTGACAGTGTTCCCGAGATGACTCAGCAGACACACAGTTAGACCTCAGTGATGGCACCAGACAATTTCTCGCTGATGTGACACCAAATACTTAGCACTTGCACATTTTGGCATACATGGGATTTGGATGTAGGCAAGAGCAGGAGCTGTCCCCAAACACAGAAGTGATATAGAATAAAGAAGAAACATAGAAGAAAGAAGCAGCAGCCCTGGCCACATCCATGAGAAGCTAGTAGTAACAAGAGAAGAAAATTAATTTCTTCATCTTCCTTTATTTTGACCACCAGTGCAGCATACTGGTATAGTCAAAGTGGAGATACTACTCAGTATAAGACTTCTAGAAGGCCAGCTAAAGAGAAGGGGTGGGGTGGGGGTGGATGTTGTCTCTGTGATGCTGCTGTCCTGGACTACATTCTGTTGACTATAAGTCCATATCAGAACAAATAAGGGACACCAGGGACAGGATGTTAGCTTTACTACCCCATGTCCTATGCTGGAGATGGTATTTGTACAAAAAAAACCCCAAAACAAAATAAGTCAGTTTGCTGACATGATAGTGTTTTGCCTTTTAGCAGCTCAGCTCATGAACATGCTCAGAAACAGCGCAGCACACTTGAGTCCAGGAAAGACCTGGACCTGTTGGAGGGGTTCCAGAGGAGGGCTACAAAAATGATCAGAGGGATGGGACACCTCCTCTGTGAGGAAAGGCTGAGAGAGTTGGGGTTGTTCAGCCTGGAGAAGGCTCTGGGGAGACCCTATTGCAACCTTTCAGCATAAAGGGGGCTTATAAGAAAGAGAACAGACTTTTTAGAAGGGCCTGTTGCAATAGGACAAAAGGTAATGGTTTTAAACTAAAAGAGGCTAGATTTAGACTAGATATAATGCAAAAATTTTTTACAATGAGGATGGTGAAATACTAGAACAGGTTGCCCAGAGTGGTGGTAGATGCTCCATCCCTGGAAGCATTAAAGGTCAAGTTGGACAGGGCTCTGAGCAACCTGATCTAGTTGAAGTCCCTGCTCATGGCATGGTGGTTGGACTAGATGAGCTTTAAAAGTCCCTTCCAACCCAAACTATTCTATGATTAATTCAAACGACATACAAGCTAGGACACAGGTAGAACACACACAGAGGACAACATGCACAACAAAAGCTTTTGACTGCAGTCTCCTGCTCCCTCCAGTATGCAAACTAATAAGAAACCTTTTGGGCCCAACTAACTACACAGAAGTTTTATATACCCACTGTGCAAGGGCAAGGGTCTTAATCTTGTATTTGCTACCCACAAGCTGCTAATTTGCTTTGTATAAGCTGGTCCAAGGGAGCTGGGTCACCCAGAAGTGGCCACCAGAGGCAAAGCACTGCAGTGGTGCCACATTGTCAGTATTGACAGAGATGGACAGTGTCAGCACATCATTATGACAGAAGCTATTACCTATTAATTTATGCTTGCTTATTAGCTGGTTCAGAGTAAAGGGATGTAGGAGTGCTAGAAAGAGGACTTCCAGTTCCTTGTGGAACAAAAACCTGCAACATGGAGTAAGCTGAAGCCTTCAGTTGCACTTAATACATTTTCAGCAGAAGTCTACAAGCACCTAAAACAATGACTTTCTGCTCCTGTGATTTATCTTATAAGTGATCCCCACAGGGAACTGGCATGAGCAATGAGATAGCAGCTATTCTAAAGGCGCTCATCAGAGAGCATGCACATCAGTTGCAGCACTGTGCCCACGTACTGCAGCATAAAGGGGAAACAAACTCATAGTTTCTTCGCCAAAAGCATATGTAATTCAGAGCTTTGATTTAAGCTAAGGAGATAAGCATCTTGCACATTTCAGTAGGTATAATTTATCAGAATTTTCATAAATGTGAGGTTTAAATAGGCAACAGAAGAGTCAGCTGGAATAAATAGCAGACTCTAAATAAGTGAACAGAGCTGGAAGCTATTATACTCAGATCAGCTAAATGCTAAAATAAAATGGATTTTGGCCTTTTTATTTTGTTCTACCTCCCCCACCCCCCAGGCTAACATGTCAGCCTTTCTACAGGATGAAGTAAATATAACACACTTGCACCATCTCCACTCCAAAATAACTTGCCAAAGAACCAATTATATAATTACTAATTATTCTTCAATGTTGGATCATATTCAGATGCTCCTGGCCTACCCTGAGCAACACTGATTCAGCCCTAATCCTCAGCAGAAAACAAGTGCTTTCCTAAGGATCTTGTGAGGCAAGATACTTTCTGACCAACCTACAGTAATTTTATAAAGTTAGATCCAACCCACAGCACAAATAATATCATTCTTTCCATGCCATGACATACTGTTCATTGCTTGCATTTGGAAAACTGTTTGCAGGTGAAATGACCATTTTCTGTGTTCTTATGGTGTCACTCGCACCTAAGCAAGGATTTTTTCATCTTCTCTCAAGACCAAAAAACCACCAACACTTCCCACTGAGCAAGACCATAGTTCTTCAAGTGCTTCAATCCAACAGACCCTTACTGCCATTATGTAGAAATCTTATTTCTGCTAGAAGTAGATATCCTCTACATTGTATATCCCTGTAATATCACTTGTATAATGATACAGCAAGGCTAAGCAGATCCAAATAATAAAAACTTTCTTCCATCAGGTAAGTTTTTCGCTAGGTCTTTCCCTAACACAGCTCACTGTTACAGCATTACAGAAATCCCAGTCTGTAATGTAAAAATCCAATCTGACACAAGACAGTAAGAGCTTTTCATAAACAATAGAGTGAGAGAACAACAATGAAACAACTCAATTTCATAAACTGAAAAGTGTGAATAACATGTTCAGGAACATGAATAATGTGATCAGGGTCGAAGTGCCAGCTTGGCAAGAGATCTCCACTGTAACCTAGAAGCAGTTGGCAACTCGACAGTACCAAACACAAGCTATATTTTAATACCTAGAGTCTAAGAGGAAGATACTACAAACAGATAAGAAATAAACTATCATCTCTCCCCTGCAGAAAATGTTGATCTATTTGCGGGTATGGTTATAGCTGTTAGGAACTGCATCCCTGGTAGGTTCAGCTAGTGCAACAGTGTCCTGCCATAGCTTCCAGCCAGACCAATTTATATGCACAGCTCACAGCTCTGCTGCTTCACTGGAACACTGCTCAAGTGCCCAGAGAAGTTGTGGATGCCTCATTCCTGGAAGTATTCAAGGCCAGGTTGGACGGGGCTTTGAGAAACCTGAGCTAGTGAAAGGTGTCCCTGCCCATGGCAGGGGAATTGGACTCACAGAGTTATCATTTAGACATACCATCATGGACTACAAGTCTTGTAGACACCTGGCTACTAACTCTGAAGCCAGGGCACACAACTTTGTGATGGACCATTACTATCTCTCAGTTTCTCTATTGAACATATTGGGGCAACAGCTGAAGGACACACCACTTAGGGAGAAAGGAAGTGCCTTATATGTTGTCAGTTTGCCCATATTCTTTTCCTAATGGATAATTTCAATTTGCAAATCCAAGTAGCCAGGTCTGAGAGATCAACATTTCAAAAACCTGCAGCCTAAATGAAATAAACCAAGTTTCAGTGCTTAGCAACTAAATCATTAACCATTGGAAGGAAAATATTTCCTTCACCAGCATGGAATGCTGTCCCCAAGGCATTCCTATATACAAAAAAAAAATAAAGCAAAATACATGGATATTTACAGATATTCGTTCATATGTATGTAAGATTCTTACAGTGCACTCCAGATCAATAGACCTTAGACACTTTGGTAAATACATACTCTAGATACCAGGAGTTTGCTGACCCTCCGGCTTTGAACAATACAGTGATGATCATTATAGCAGTATCATATGGAATATCATTATAGTTTCCAAACCTTTTGGTAACATTTTAGTATTCAGGACACTAGTTTCATAATCCATTCTGCCTTGTCAGACACAGATTGTTCTGCTGACATCTTCCAAGTCTCTCTTACCATGTTGTATTTCTCTAGGGCGGGGGGAGCTGTGAGGAAGGAGATGGACCTTGATACCAATTGCTCGTTCTGAACCCAAAGAGAGTGGGGGCAAAACCTCGGCAAGTATTCAGTTGAAAGGTCCTAAAAAGAGTTTGCTGCAGCAAGAGTAAGGCAGTGCAACCACTCCAGTAACTCCTTACAATACAACTTCATCGTGCTTTCCAGTCCCCACTCTACAGCAGGACCAGGAAAGCAAGAGATTAGCAAGGGAAGAGACCCACCATACACACTCCCACCCATAGTTTACCAGAACATAGTCCCCTTAACTGAAAGTATGAGTAGCATGACACCAAGAAGCATCATTTTATGTAATGGCATCATTTAACTCGCTACCATGATTACATGGTAAAATAATTATTATTTGCCTAGATGTAATTCAAACCTGGACTGGATTATTCCACCACCACAACTATACCAGAAATGCTTTTGTAATTTAGATTGATCTTGAATTAATCTATTAGATTGTGGAGGAGTGAGGAAAGTACACCTAATTATCACAGACCCTGAAGAGCATCTCACCCACAAGCTTCAGTGCCTTACTTTATAAGAGATCTTTGAAAACTTTATCCTACTCATTAGGTGAAAGAAAAAAAAGACAACACAAATAAAAACAGGGGAAAAAAAAAACAACAACAAAGCCAACCTTCTTTATTAATAAAATGTTGAAAATATATTTTCGGGAAATACTCAACAATATTCTGCAACAATTCTGAATTATTAGTTCTTCTCAGAAACCATCTTCAGAGAAGCCCAAACCAAAAGCAAAAACCTCCCAACCCAACGTACTCATGTGCGCAGTTAAATGCTGCGTGTGCAACATGAACATCCAGGAGCATACCTTGTCCCTGACGAGCAGCGGGGACTTCCCATTGTTCTCAGCAAACACTCACCCGCATCCTCATTTATTTCTTTGCACTACCAAGACCCCGGGGAGACCTGCCGGCGGGAGAAAGCCCCGCCAACGCCCGCC